TGCAAAATAAACATTATTTTTGGTGTTCTCGTGCGATGATTGATCACATGCCGTCCTTTAGAAAAATCAGAGCTCACAGCGCTGAATAAATCGTTATATAAGCCGCCAACACTTCATGTGCTTGTGAGAATTGTGATGCTTAAAAAGTAGAAATCGGTTGGCAATTTTTTGGTGATATGAAGCTCTTCGTCAACTGAGACTACGTTTAGCCTTGAAGGGTGACTTTGAACGGTCAGGACTTTTCGACGGACGGTAATTTATGCGCTGATGGATATTCTGATACCTGAAAACTTGAAATCTGCCGTTTTTGTTTTGTTTTTGGGTGCTGTAGAGTGCCTTGTCCCTTAAGCCTGACTTTGACACTGAAAGGTGACCTCAGGAGTTAAGAAATTCATTGCCCACGCTAGGTTGTGCACTGACGAATATTCTGATGCTTGGAAAGCTGACAATTGCCGGTAATTTTTTGGTGATATAGAGTCACCCGTCTTTGAGAGTGAGTTTGACCTTGAAGGGTGACCTTGAGAGGTCAGAACTTATTGTCAGACGTTAGTTCATGCGCTGGTAAATATACCGGTGCATGTAAGTCTGAAATCAGCCGGTAATGTTTTTGGTGATATGGAGCTCACCGTCCTTAGCCTTAGTTAGGCCTTGAAGGGTGTCATTGATAGGTCAGGACCGCTCTACGGACAATAGTTCTTGCACTTTTGAATATTCTGATGCTTGCAAGTTTAAAATCGGTCAGTAGTTTTATTGGTGTTATGGAGTTCCCCGTCTTTTGACGTTGCTTTTGACCTTGAAGGTCAAATACTTTTTCAATGTAAATATGATTTGTGATGTTCAGGTGGCATCATTGACCGCCAAAAACGTTTTCAGAGAAATCGGAACTCGTATAGCTGAATAAATTCTTGAATAAATCGCCAACTTTACGGATAGTGTCAGGTGGCTCTCACACAATGTTGTGCAAGGTACAATGACGTAACCATACAATGACGTATTGATGAGCATATTTGCTGAACAAAAGCGTGTTGTCTAAAACAGTTATTTCCACTTCAAAGTATACCAATAGTTACAAGTGCGCTTATTTCAGCACATCTGATGCTTGCTTTAATATCTGCCAATGTGAAACATTTAGTTTGTCAAACGTCATGAACAGGCACAACAGCAGAGGTCCACCCGAGCGTCATGAACAGGTACAACTGCAGAGGTCCACCCGAACGTCATAACAGCTATTATATATTCTCGCCATGGCGAGCACCAGCCAGAACACCGGTATAGTTCCTGATGCTTGGAAAATGTATTTAGTTAAACTTGTTTACAAGTCGATGGAATCTCTATCTAAGCATTGCAACACATGTCCGACCTCGATTGCTCGTAGCAGTGGTAAAACAGTTGAACGAGTTGCCACGAGCAACTGCACAGCTTTTTTCGACACCAGTCACCTCTTTTCCCAGTTACGAAACGAATTTCGTACACACCACTCAACCGAAACAGCATGGACGACCGTAAGTGATATTATACTACGGGTTGTCGATAGGGGCGAAAACGCACTGCTCGTGCTGTTTCATTTGTCTAAATATTTTGATGTGGTGAATCGCGATAGGCTTCTTGAAAAGCTATTTCTTCATGACGTTCACCCTCACTGGTTCAAATACTGTGTTCGTAACCACAGACAGAAAGTAACGTTTACCTGTAAACACCTCGGACCTTTAAAATCACGGCAAAATTGAAAATCAGATACGGTTGCACAAGGGCAGCTCCCTCGGCACGTTGTTACACAATATTCTGTTTCAAAGGGCATCAGGCTCCATGTGGAAGGCAGCGTCTATGGTGTCCGATACGCGGATGATAGGACAACAATCGTAACTGGCACAAAGCTAGAATTCACTGAGATTACAGCGAAACGGAGCGAGCAGTCCCCCACATTGCACCAATGACTTGCGCAACATGCCATGAAATTCAATGCTAGCAAAACCCAACTTATCGTCATGGGCAGTCAGCAAATGGTACGGCACGTGTCGCCCGGCTCAATCCACGTCGGGGACAAGCATGATTGAGGAGAGCGGCACGGCACTTAACCTTGGGTTGACCCTTCGGCCGATCACCCACCTTCTCGACCCACATTGGCAGTATGAAAATGCTGCTGTAATGAGCTGCTTGTGGTCCCATATCATATCAGACGTAGTCTTCCCAGTGAACGTATGGGCGCAACAGTGCAGAATTTTGGTCATCTCCGTGATATGCTACTGCATATCTGTGCACGGCAGCGCAGAACAGTCAACCTTGAAGAATCTCCGGTCAATGCTCAATTTTTACGTGAGAGTGACATCAGGCCGCCAGAAGTCCGACCACAGTTCTGATCTGATAAATCAAATTCCAGCCCTGAATGTGAGGCAGCTGGCATCCCACCACAACGAAACCTTTCTTCATAAGATCATCACAACGGGGCAACCATCGGCATTGGCAAATATGCTACGCACAAACATTGACATGAGAGGCAAACGCACTCACCAGTCACACGACATCAGGCTGCCTACGGCGCGTCGGAACAGTGGCAAACAGCAGTTTATTTGCCGGGCTCCGGTTGACTACACCCTCCTGCCAAACTACATGAAGACCCTTAACCACTCATGCTTTGCTGCCGCAGGTAGCGAGAGTTCCCGCATGGCATCGGGACGTAAGCACGTGTTTTAGTGGAAGTAAGATGCGTGTGCTTTTTGTTGAATGAATGAGCATTCCGGTAGTCTGGAATGTTTTAAGGCATTACATAGCACAGTAACAGTTAAGGGTGGATTTTATCTGTTTATAGAATGCGTGATACATTGGAATCTGCTACGACGTGAATACATACATGCATGCATTTCCTCAGTTTATTGACTTCGAAATGCAAGCAGCGTTGATCTCCCGGTAGTTTCTGGCTTCTGTTCCAGTTAAACACAAAGCGGTTGGCTTTTAGGTGTAAGGATTTTATCGGGTTGTACAATTGCTTACCATGAACGTCACACGTCAAGAACACCGCACGAACATCGCGATTATTCCAGTCATTCAGGGACTCACGTCTTGTCACCAGGGGTGACACTTTTCCAGTCGATTGGGGGGAGGCTCAGCCGGCAAGGCTGACCTACCTAACCTCAAAAACTGATTTCTCACCGGATTTCGGCCGCTCATATTTGTGTTTCGATGCCAGTGTTAAACAAGATGAAAAATCGGCCTACGACATATTTCATTTGGTTTTCATTTGTGCGTTTTATTATACCTCATCTCCCGATTATAAAATCCTGCGTACAGCCCTATTCAACAGTCAGGTTTGCGAGGATGTGGGAGAAGGGTGACACATACAAATCGTCTATGAGTGAAACTCGCGTTTATCATATCCCCGTATGCGCGGCAAACCGTCCAAACGGGAGGATGGGATCAGCTACCTGTTACTTAAAGCTGCCACGTTTGTGAAGTTAGTCAGGGCTAGCACAACAAGCACTGCTTGGCTTGAGCGCTGATCCCAGAAATCCATCCATTCAAGGGGTTCGGATCAAATAAAAACAACAACAAAACAAATGAAGCTAGAACTGCGTGAAAAATATATAGGAGTTTTTGCCTTGGCACTAACGCCGTGACACCTGGATCAGGTAGTTCGGCAAGCAAGGCGCTATCATAAATGACCTGAACTGAACCTGACCTGATTTTATCCCGACCTATTTTGGGCCATGACTTTTGTTAGCATTTTGGTAGGATTTCAGCATGAGAGAAAAGGTTCTTTGGTGTCTGCTCATTGACATGGTTCCTAGTGCCAGCGAGCCCCGTGGTCGTCCCTATATTTGTGAGATTTTACCGGGATTTCACGCTGTAGCGCCCTTAATCCCGTAACCGAGATCGAGTGGGTTTTGTTTGATAGAATTCACCACACCATCGATTTCCCATTTTCGCTCGTTCAGTATATGAGGCATCTTGTCAAATAGAATCAGCGTCTATTGAAACGTTGAGACGTTGGGAACTGCCCAATACAGTTTAGGACGAAACAGAACGGACTGTAGCATGAAATTGCGTGGTGCGTTAACACTATCCGGCAAAAACTACCGGTTGAACGGAATTGGTTTCGTCTCCATTGATAAGCTATGATTGGAATACTCATAACAAGCTGTGCTCGCGACTCAGCACAGCGGAGTCGTCTGTCATTCTCGACGGTTATTCTACAACTCCTATACACGGCGGACATCCACGACGCCAACGCTTTGCTTTGACTGCGGAGGAAACAGTCATAAAGCTTAGTGCTTGATTATGAGCTCTAGCCATGAAAAACTGACATGCTTGGCAAGGGCTCAGTAAATGAAGCCGCTTAAAATTCACATCGGTTGCACCAAAATGACTGCAATGACTGGAGAGTAAGTAATCGCATTATGAAAGGATAGCCAGAATTCCACCAGTGTGCCCCTCAAACAGACGAGGGTTTCAGATAAGAAGTAATGTGCATTTGTACACTACTTCTGGCATTTGTGTTTCAAAAGGAGTAACAGCTCTTTCGGAAATCGATTTCTGGTAACAAGTATGGGCAAAAAACAAAGCAGAATGCTTCTAAGACTACGCCTGCATTGGAAAAGAAATGGTCATGCGTTGCCCATGGTCTTGTTCGAAAAAATAGGATGGTTATCCAGACAGCTATTTAGGCGACACCATGCAGTGAAAGCGCCCAAAGAAGTGTGCACGTGTGATCATCATAAAAGAGAAGCTAGTCCTTTAAAACTTCAGCAGACATGTGAATCCGATCGGGTCGTCCACTTCCGTAAACTCTGAACAGATAAACATCAATCGTGTTTAGTTCAATAGAAGATTTCATCCACTTTTCCAACGTTAAAGTACACGATCCAGCAAGCAACAGTGTATATTATCCTTCTGAGCCAGCCCATTTGTCGTTTTAACAATTTCTATCACGGTAGCAAGCGTGATAATTTCAAATGAGTGTCTATCGAACATTAACGAATGAACTTAACGAAACCCTCCATTTTTTCATCAAGAAGCATCATACGCATAGTGTGCTACAAACTACACGCCAACAAATAACTACCACGATTTCCCCAAATCATTTACTCCAGTTGCCACAAATCATTGATATTTATTCGAGTTCCGGTGTGAATGTCATTGTTAGTGTCCAAGGCTGACTCGTCCCAAGATGTGGATTACTAGAAGACATCACGGTACGTTAACTAACGCCCTATGTCCATCCTCCGGCACACGAGTACCGTGGTTAAATGCAGTGTCAATGGGAAAGTTAACTGTGTATGCAAGAATGCATATAGGGATATTTATGTACATTGCAAAGTTTTTTTCTTCATTTGTTCATATGTCCACGCCTAACATGTTTGCCCTATTTGAAGGCTTGTTACATCATGCCTATATCACACCAATTGATGAATATATATATATATATATATATATATATATACAATATATATATATGTGTATATGACACACACATTTATATATATATATATATATATATATATATATACATATCTATATATATACATATACCTATGATTGTATATGTATACATATGCATATATATACATATACATATGTATGTTTATGTATACATATGCATATATATACTATAGTATGTATATTATACATATGCATATATATATATATATATACACAAATATCCGTATTTCGGAAGGAGATCGTTCACTTAACATTGGCCGTTGAAAATAATAGCCGCTTCGCGGTTTGATACAAACATATATCCACTGTCTTCCATTACAAGCCAATTTTTCCTCAGCTTTTTGGCACGAATGTTTTGCTAAAAGCTGTGACGGTCTGACTGCTCCACCAGAAGGCTGATTACTTATTCCTAGAGTTTGCCTCACAATATCTCTATTTTGGAACATCAAATGTGTTCAACGATTTTCTAACGCTTCGACGCTTTCTTACGTTCTTCCTTTCCAGATCGGCATGTCAGAGTGTCTTCTTATTTTGATAACAGGTAAGTGAACTTGGCAGACGCTCGGTTAAGCTATTACAGTGCAGAAAAGCATCCCGGTTATGGGAACACTTTGGCATCCTTGCCTCCTTAGCTGCATGCAATCCGGCAGTGACACTGTAAGCTGACATTTTTTAAGATCCTTTTTCAGATTCTCGAGACACAGCAACAATGATATACCTTGCACTTGAAACAATAATGGTCACGGACATATGAGCTACAGAAGCTGAGAATAACATGTGACGCAGTTTTTGTTACACTTATTATTCCCACCATTGTGAGACATGGATAAAACTAATTATAATGTGCATTAGACCCATTCACATTTGTTCCACATTTCATCGTCCATGGTGTTGCTTTCTATTCTTCTTGTGGGCGTACAGGATGGTGCATTTTTTCAAATCAGTTCTGATATAGATTACCTTTACGCAGTGCGTTTACCTTGAAGTTTGGGAAACAGGGCCAACTAAGGCTGTAGAGCGTCTGCTTGACATCTTTTCAAAATGCGTGGTGTAAAAAGTGTTAGCTGAAGCTCCATTCACCATTTCCCATAATGCATATACACGGAGCGAAGACATCATGGGCCCCAAATATCAAAAACAGCCTAACTCATTTCGTGTTTCGTCGCAGGCTTGTTCCTGTTTCGCGGGACCTACGGGACCGGTGATCACCAGGGGTGGCAGCGTGACATTGCGCGCGGCTCGAACGCCTATGGTGTCGAAGGGCGGCTCAGCGGCGACCGGCCTCTGCGGGGGGACGGGCGACAGAGGCTACTGCCGCTAGGCTTCGTGCCCGTGGGCCCCGAACGTCGGCTAGAGACCGGACCTCACGGAGGAGGCAGTGCCGGGGGCGTGGCCCCAGGCGGGGGCGGCCAGCCGCTGGGCCCCGTAGCTCCTGTCGTGGGGCGCTCTCCCAAGCCGCACGCGGCTCGCGGCCTGGCTCCTGACTCTGCCACGGAAGAGATCAGCCTAAGGCTGACCGTCGTCACACCCAGAAGCGGCAGCCCCGCGTCCGGAGACCGCCAGGATGGAAGAGGCTCCGTCTCGTCGGACGGCCTCACCCAAGGACTGCGAGGGGGCGACATTCTGGGAGCCCAGCAGTCCGGCGAAAAACCCGCTGCCGCCGTTGGCGGACAGGAGATCGTCTTGGGCTTTCAGAGGAACAGTGCCCAAGCAGGCGGCGAGGAGGGTGAAACAGACATCGCACCGAAGCAGTCCAAGACTTCGTCGGCCATGCCTCAGCTCGGACCCCCGCTGGGAAGTGACCAGGCCTCGGAGGCTTCCCGTAAAGGTAGCGCCGTCAGCGGGCCGGGCCACCCTGCCGGCGTGACTAGCGAGCAAAGCGAGGGGCTGGAAGCTCCCCGCGTCGCCGGCCGAGCTGCGGTGCCGGAACAGCGCGGCCCGCCGGCGACAGACGGGGCCAGCCAGCCGGGGCCGCCCCGACTCTCCATCGCCGAGGTTCTGGACTTTCGGCCGGCGCCGCCGCAGAGCTTGGCCGGTCAGCCGCCGCAGCCGGACCCGCCGGAGCGGGACTCCCAGCCGGCAGTGGCGGCGGCCGGTCACGGGTCTCGGCCGTCCGTCGGGCAGGGTCAGCCCATCGAGGCGCTCCGAGGGCCCGCTGGCGTCAACGATGGCCCAGGCGCGCCCAGCGGACCGGGGGATCCAGGGGTGACGCAGCAGCAGCGAGAGGGCGAGAGTCGCCATATGGGCGGCACTGAGTGGCTGTCGGAGTCGATTCCGGGCCAGCCACACGTCGACTATCCGGTTGCTGATCTATCTGCCAGACTCTGGGTTCGACTGCAGAAGGCAGCAGATGGACGGATTCTACGCTGACATCTCAGACGAGGCCAGGTGTCAGGTAAAATTTGCAAATCTGGTTTCCATTTTTCTGAGATCGTGCAAGGACCTTTCAAGGTGCATTTTTTACTCCACTTTTGCATATCTTTGAACCCTCAGTTACCCAACGGCTTGTTAGTATTGGCAGTATGTGATGTTTTTAGCTGACATAGTTTTCCGGCCAGATGTGTGAAAGGCCCAACCAGAGATTTAACCTTTCAGGCATTTTGGGTATGCCACAACAAACAGCAAGATGGCTTCCTTTGCCCAAATGGCACGGTCTTCAACCAGCGCTACCTCACCTGTGACTGGTGGTTCAACGTGCAGTGTGACGAATCGCCACAGCACTTCGACCTGAACCGGAACATCAGCGTGGTGGGCACCCACATCAGCGCCCAGCCGGCCGGGATGCCGGCCGGAGCCGCACCCAGGGTTCACCCAGTGAGTGCTCTGGTCGAGGGACTCGCCAGTACTGGTGTGACCTGAGCCCTCTACCGGGAGTAACTGGAGTTAAAGATGTTCAGCTACCAATGACTGTTACGTTTCTGTGTAGGGATGGGGCTTCTGTGAGCGCTGTATGCTTTATGCTGTTTTTAAGCTAAAACTGTCATTGAGCTATTAGTTTAACCTGTTTATTTTTTCGTGACAGGTGCTGACGATGCTGGGTGACATACTAAAATATCCAGGAGTTCCTCCCGTCCCTCCTTCTAATTCGACTGCACCTTCAAACAAGTCCGCACCTACAGCCCCTGCCTCTCAAGCAGCGACGCCCAGCTCCAGTCAGCAACCCTACGATTTTGAGCTAGATGTGGCCAACGTGTTCGTTGTGGGTGGGATTCCGGGAATCCCGCCATTGGATACGCAATGCGGCGACCACCTGCAGTCAAAAGCCACTGACCATACAGCCTGCAGCTTGAACAGACAACCAACCAAGGGTCCAAAGCTTACAAACAAAAGGCACGCAAAAAGGTCATCTGCTTACATCCACAAGAGACCTTACAAGCGTGATTTAGGCAATACGAAAACTACGAAGCACTTGCATAGACGCAAAGCCCGCGACAGCTTTATGGTGCAGGCGGCAAAGGGGCTAGAAAGCGCTACCTCTATGCTGTCTTCGAGAATACCTCAGGTGGAGCGGTCGGCCATCTCTCAGCTGCACAAGCGTGCCACTTCGCCGTCACCGGCGCCGGCTGCGCTGCCGTCCGCACTGGCCGAGCCGCCTGATCAGGGAGCCGCGGCTAACCAGGCCGGCCCGCAGCCTATTGTTCAAACCGTCGATAAGATCGCATTTCCTCTAGCCCCCAACGGTGGAAACTTACCAAAGGTGGAAGAAGACTTCAAAATTCAGGGCATGGGTGGCGATGGAAGGGCGACATCGATCAAGGACGTTATGCCGTCACATTTTCCGGTTCCAGGCGCTCTCAAAGTCATGGCTGCAAGCGGAAAGGAAGTTCCATATGGCTCCATGGCGTCTGCTCCACCAAGCCAGACAGGCAGTCAGCAGTCGCCAACTGGTCCAGCCCAGGAAAACGGGAGTGGCCGTGATTACGCCAGTATTTCGTTGGCGCAGGACGTAGACTTCGGGCAAGGCAGCAAAGGCGGCTCCGGAGAAGGTGCGGCCGAGGACGGAGCCCGCAGCGGACGCAGCGGGTCTCCCAATGGACAGACGGCTGTCTCAGGTTTTCTGGCGAGTCCAGTTGCTACCGCTGCTCAACCCCCTGCGCCCGGAAATGCTGCGGGCTTGAATGACGGGTCAAACGCACAAGACGCCAGTGCGCCGTCCCCTCCAAGTCAGCTCCAGGCAGGGAGCTTGGAGCAGTCGAAACAAGGGGGACCAGGTGAATCAGCTTCAGCCCCTGCAGCAGAACAGTCCGCCAATGTGCCAACGAACCAAAACACCGCCCCAGATCCACCCCCGCCACTGCCTCCTCAAGGACCGCCGGGTGAGACTCATCCACCAGGCCCGTCTGGTGGACAGCTTCCCAGTAGACCTAGCCAGGATTTGAAAGGTTCTGAAGCTAAACCCAGCCGTACTTCTGGCAATTCGGATATGCCCGCGGGCGAGGATGACAAAAGCAGTATGAAGTCTGGACCCATGTCTGAGGAAGTCATTGAGGAGACGTCCAATGTAAAAATTTTGCTCCCATATTCCAGTAAAACTGGAAATAGTGACGGCAGCAATGGAAACCTAGCTGGGCGCTTAGGAATGCCAAGCGATGCGTCATATATGCATGGACAACCTTTGGCAGAGGTGCAACCCACTTCTGGCCAGATGCTTTCTGGCCATGAACACGAAGCAGTTTCTGCTTCTATAAATCAGCCCACTAAAAACACAGTTACAAATCCGACGCAGTTTCCTAGCAGCGAAACACAAACCAGCATCAATAAAACAGGAAGCGCACCTGGGAATCCATATGCCTCTTCCGCTCCCGCTGATGACAGTTCCACGGGAGACATCAGCAAGCTGCCAGATTCCGACCCTACGAGCCAGCAGACTGGTTCCGTGCCTGCTGGAGGGGGCCAATTCGACTCCGCTACTGGCGTGGTTACCCATGAGGGCTCTTCAGAAATCACGAAGGAATTGGACAGCTCATCGCAGTTTGTTCAAGGTGAAGGCCAAGACACTGGATCGCTCGCGTCCAACATAAAGGTGCAAGAAAAAAAGCTGGGTAATAAACCAGCATTTTCTTCGCTTTTAGATGATCCTTCAGCACTGAAGAAGGAAATGCCGTCTGAAAACTTCAAGGTTCTTCAGCAGCCACGACGGAAGCCGGAGCAGGACGGTGCGCTCATTCCAGGCCACAAAAGTGTTCAAATAAAATCAGAATCAGTGAGCAGAATCATAAAAAATCCATCGCGTCACAGAAGTGCGATCAGCGATCCAGCTGGGATGGATCTGCCGGAGCTTTTGAGACCCCCGAGCTTTGCGTCATATTTGAGTAGGGGAGGCTTTTCTCTCGACGATTCGATGCTGTCCTACAGCCCGACCCCGCCGCCGCATCCCGCCATATCTAGAATCAAGGGATCTATCGACATGAAGTCGGGATCCAACATGGCTCGCGCCGCTGGCCCCCCGCCGCCTGGTGCCGTGGCTGACCTGCCTCCCTCCCTCGACAGTCGTGCATCGGGCGCAGCTGGCTCACGGGTCGGGTCAGCGGCACCTCAGGACGGAGACTTGTCGGCCAGGGTCTCAGAGACGCTCAGCATGGTCGACACCATCCTGGGGCCTCCGCCTTTTAAGTCGAGACGAAGTTACAAACCCGGGAAACCGCGTCAGCCGTACCGCAACGCCGAGGACATGTCTTTGAAATCCAATTCCTTCGGAAGTCAAAGCCGGAAGAGGTCTTCGGAGTCGGAGCCATTGTACAGCGACCTGGGGATAAATCTTTCGGTACTGATCAGTGGATCGCCAAACAGCACACCGCCGAGCAGCGCCGGAGCGTCAGCCAACGCCATGACCAGCCTTGGACAGCCGCCCCCACGCCAGCACGTTAGCGAAAATAAGGAGCATATTTATGTTGTAAAGCCATCCGCGGCCCGGGCTCCTAATGAAGACGAAAAAAGCACGTTTCGGGTTAACTTGAAACCAAAGGAGAAACCATCCTCCCAGGAACCTAAGGTCGAAGAGCGCATTGATATCAAAATGTCAGAGGAGAACGATACCTCAGATGCGAGTTACGATTATGATGTTTCAAAGCTACCAGGATGGATGCGAAAGACTTCCAAACACCACCCGAGCAACAATTACTCTCAGTCTCGCGGAGAAGGGGAACGCTTGGAAACGACAGTGGATATATATGAAAGTCCGTCTCGACCCGCTCGTGGAACAAATCTTGTCGCCCGAACTACCCTTCGAAAAACGAAGTCAGCCGTGTCATCACAAAATTTTCCGAGAAAGCATCGATCTTCCAAAACACGATTGCTGGACGCACCTAAAGAACTTGAAGAAGTGCCCGGCAGGGATCTGGATCGAATAGCTGCTAGATCTTCTTCGCCCCGTGAAAGAAAGCAAGCCACCTTAAACAGGCGATTACGTTTTCGCAATGTGGCCTCAAACTCCGAGTCTCAGCCAGGCAAGTTATGACGAAGCAATCCTGATTTGCACACACTGTTTCCAACACACGCATCATTCTGGACGCGCCTACGTTGGGAACAGTGCGCACGTGATGCTCACCTACCGCCTCCCTCATTCAGCGGCGTATACCACAACAGCTTATGAGATACTTCGCACGTTTGCACCTCTTCTTGCTTCGCTTTCATGGCTGACTGTGCTGAAGCATGTGCTAACTCGTATTTTTGCTAAATTTGTGTTGACGGAGGCTATAAGTAGATGTCGAGAGTATTATGAACGTGTTCAACTTATGCTTGGAGAATGTGTACCATGTCGTGCATGTAATAAACAGTGTTCACGAGCCGATTATCCGTCATTATCAATGTACGTGTTCAGCATCACTGACACAGATGCAGGGATCACCCAGCTGGAAAGCAGGAGTAAAGCTTATCTCCCGCAATTAGAAGTCGTCTTTAATCTGGATGCGGATAAATTGTGTACCTGTTGATTGCTTCTCGACACATGTGGACATATGGTAGCGTTTTTAGTTTTGACATCTGACAGCCTAGGTCATAGCAAAGCGACAGTGGTTTAATAAGATATCGTCAATTTGAACAATCTGGGCAGGAAATCTTTCAAGAAACTTTCACTACGAAGGTATTCCGGCGACCGGGTTTGCGGGAGTCTGCAGGACCACCTCCGTCTTGGAGAGAAGTCCGAACCTTTTGGAGAAGAAGTAAATAGCTGGGTCTCGATGTGTTCCCGCGATTTTTCCCCAGGTACACAACTTTATACCCTGATTCGTACCATTTGGCAAACCGCTTACCCAATATCCTAAGCAATTCATGCGGCTCGGCATCATTTCTACTTGGGAGAGAAATTCCACGAATGAGAAAGGCACTTTTGACGACTGGGAAGCATTCGTCTTCCTAATTGCATGTCCAAAGATATAACCTGACTTTGAGCGATTCTACAGCACTTATGTAGCAACACACAGCGTTTGATAGTGATACCCTTAAAGCAACAGTTGTTTGACATTTATAAGGAGAAAGCAGTGCCGAAACGGCAGCCATTGACCCTCGTGACGCTCCAGGGCAGCGCGGGTCCATGATACCAGCCACGTGCTTTGTGCTCTTGGAGCATTCTGGTCACCCGGCCATGAACTGAACAGGCGATGGCTTGTGTGACCCGTTCTGCGTTAGTAGAACGCTTACCTGCGATACCTACCTGTGAGATGTGACGGGCGAGTAGGGTAAGGTGGGGCAAGACGCTCCTGAAAATGCATTTTGGTGAATATCCTTTGTTCTATCTTATTACCATTGCAAGTGCATTTATTGAAGCACACTTTGAACATTTTTACTAATTTATGCAAAACTCACTTCCTCATTCCTCATTTCATGCACTTCTGGGAAGCGATTTTAGAGAAGCCTGCAAGTGGGGCGTCCTGCCCCATCCCCAGGGCAAGACGCCCCGAGCCATGAGGCAAGAAGCCCTGGGCCACGGGGCAAGAAGCCCCGGGTATAAGGGCAGAGGACTTCACCAGGAATAGTGCCCCATCTGACACCAAAAATTCAAGTCGGGGTTTAAACAATTTTCGTATCTGCCTGCAGTTATTTAACTAAGCATTTCCACCGTGTAGATATCACCTCCCTCAACATCGAAACAGATGAGTAGCAAAGCAATCAACGTTTATTCAGGCATACCTGCGCTGAACGGTAGGCGAACGGTAACGGTAGCTGGTGCGGTAGCGTGTCTGGATAACTACCACGTAAGAACTACTCACGGCAGTGGTCGCAGACGTACACCGTCTGAGTGTCATTTGCATCAGTGCAGGGAACACAAGCCCATCCCTTGCAGCTCCCACACTGAATCCACTCCTCACAGAAGGAGAAACGCATTGAGCATATCATGCATGCCACGTCTTTCTCGGAGTCAGGCACTGACTTCTTTTTCGACGGCTTTGTTTCAGTGCCTTTTGTTTTCTTGAGGTAGCTTACAGGGAGCTTTTCTTTGGACGGAGATGAAATTCAGGCCGCAGACTTCTCCACTTCACGGCCGCGTTTTCTTTTGTCTACCTTGGGTAAGGGTGACAACTCTCCTAGCAGCGTCCTTGCAGACAGAATCCTTCCACTCGCTCGAACTCCCCCGCTGGGATCAGCGCCGTTTATCTTGCCAGCTCTCCCGCTGCGACCTGCGTCACCCTCCGCTCCAGCTCTCCCGCTGCGACCTGCGTCACCCTCCGCGCCAGCTCCTCCGTTGGGGCCAGCGCCGTCCATCTCACCAGCCCTTCCGCTGTGACCAGCATCACCCTCCGCGCCAGCTCCTCCGCTGGGGCCACCGTCAGCCTCCGCACCAACTCTCCCGCTGAGGCCTGCGTTACCCTCCGCGCCAGCTCTCCCGCTGCGACCTGCGTCACCCTCCGCGTCAGCTCCCCCGCTGGGACCTGCGTCACCCTCCGCGCCAGATCTCCCACTGCGACTTGCGTTACCCTCCGCGCCAGCCCTCCCACTGTGACCTGCGTCACCCTTCGCGCCAGCTCCCCCGCTGGGACCATCGCTGCCAGCCGCGCCAGCTCCTCCGCAGGAGCCAACGCCGTCAGTTACACATCCACTGGGCTCTGCTTCATCCGTCAGCAGCGATGGCACGTAGCTCTCCTCTGTGAGGGCGTTTTGGTCGAATGGCCTAAGACCGGTCACTTCGAAGCCCTTAATGGCTCTTTCGGGTGTTGCCATCCGGTTGAACGCTTTGCCGATCAGCTGCCCAATCCCGTAGATAGTGGCGCCTCTGCTGCGACTCGTCCGCAGGTAGTTCTCTGCCGCGACGTTGGTGCCGGCTATGAGTAAGTTGAAGACGGTTCGGTTGAGAGGTTGCATCTTGTGCGAAGAATGTGGTTTCAGGGTCAGCATATGTATGTAATGCTCCCTGGCGTAGAGGATGGCAGGAAGATACTTGTTGGACTGGTGACCATCCAGTATGACCAGCTGTGGGTTGTTGATGCTGCTTTGCGTCCACTGCTGAAAGTGCACCAGCCACTTCACGAGCAGTTCGCCGTCCGTCTATCCTGAATCGCTGGTGCCATCGATGGACCCTGGAGGTGTCCCATTCATGAGCTTGTCCAGCAGACGTTTTCTCGGCCAGGCAATGATCAGAGGTATAAAACGTCCCGCGGCGCTGCAAGCAGCAACAACTGTCACAAGTTCGCCTCTTTCCGCGCTAGCCAGCGCCCCGACGCAACGTTTCCCGCACTTGGCCAAAACCTTTGAAGGTGTCTGGACAGTGGAAACACCAGTTTCGTCCAAATTTCAAACCTGCAAGCTCTCGAACCTGAACTTTTCAAGACGATCTTTATGGACTTTGAAAAACTGACCCACCATGTCTTTGTTGAAGCCAGTCGCCCGATGGATGCCGGTCCCTTGCGGCTTTCTGAGGCTGATGTCTGGGTTGCGGTTCAGAAAGCTGCATAGCCATTCTTTTCCGGCGGATCCATCTCGAAACGGATGCGGGAATTTCGCACGTTCAGCCAACTTAAATGCCAGCTTCCGTACGTCCGCGGTAGCCAAGCCAAAAAGGCGACTTTCCATCTTAAAAATGTGTTCTTTGAGAGACATTTCCACATCGGAAGGGAACACTGTGCCGTACCTTCCAAGATGCTGCTCTCACGGACGTTTCACGTTACCGTCGCAATGACGTCAGAGTGTTCTAAGCGGCACACCATAATTGCGTGACACCTCCCGCACACCCAGTCCTTTTTTGAGATCGTCCAGAGATTTTCTAATGGCCATTTCGCCATTTTTCATGCGCTATAATTTTGGCCTGTATGTCCGCACCATACCTGAAACAAAAAGTCATTTTAATTGCACGCTGCCAAATTACAACATGAAAAACAATATGACTGTTAACTTTAACCAAATTTCTACGTTTAGAATGTGAATCAACTGCCGATATCATTATCTTCCTGCCATTGCTTATCCTCAAAATTCTGTCCCTTAAAAGTGTTAAAGTAGTTAACCAGATTAAACTACGGTCAACTAGTCATTTAAAGCCGATATAACAGGAAACTGGCAATTAAAGGCTCACATGGGTCAAGACGCCCCATGGGGCTTTTTACCTCACGACCTATTGTGGGTACTGCTCCGACCAGTCATTCGGACAGACATCGGCGCCTAGAACGGAGAACCAACACGAATTCAGCACCAAACAGTAACGCAATTTTGGGTCCAAATTATGATTTCTCCATATGCATTAACGATTCTGAACTGCAGTGTGGTATAAACGATTGCCTTCACTTAGCACTGGAACCCAAAAATAGAAAGAAGACACTTACAAGCACATTTTTACCTATATCTGTCCAACGCGATCAACCAGCCCCGTCACTATCTGCCAGCATACTGACCACGTTGTTTGTTTAACAGGGCAGAAAGTGTTTCCCCGGAAATTTTAAAATTCTAAGATATCTTGATGGGGCGTTTCACCCTGGCGGGGCGTCTTGCCCCACCTTACCCTACGTTACTCAACATTAGCGCATGTGTCAGTCAGGCTGGCTGTGACGCAAGGCTGCCAAACGCAGCTGCACACCTGTCGCAAACATCGTGGGGTGCGCTCTTTGCATTTGCACTCCACTGCCAGCTGCCGTTTGGAATGCTGAAGCGTGGTCGGGGAAAGAAATAATTATATGTGTTATGTACGATAGCATCGAACGCGTGCTCATGTTGGGTCCTCTTGATCGTGGCCAGCTTTATTCCAATCGGCATATGCTCTTGTAGCCTGCTACAACGGACAGTCATCCCCACACCTATACCCTCTGAAGGCTTTTAGAAATGTACGCTAGAAAGGCTAGCAGGTGAGCTATGCTGCAACACGGGTCCCCACCCGTGTCATAACTCCAAACACGGCTGTCAGTACGGGAAGTCAAGTCGAGCACTAGAGGTTTTAACAGGCAGCGTTTCTTCTGAGCCCAATCCGCTCGGTAGTCGTGGTTCCATGTGACACCTGAGCATGGAGCCATGACCACCACCTAAGAAATATGCTATTCTCCTGCCCACTCTTTACTCACTCCTGGTCGAGACGCTCAAATGTTTTAGTTTTTGATTGCTGCATTGGGCGTCAGCAGCACACCCGTTGCGTCCGCGCGCTCGGCGGCCAGGCAAAACGCTCAGCTGGCCCGGCCGACCGCCTGGGGCAAGGTCGCCAGCGTAAGGTCAAGGACAAGGTCAACGGAACAGCGCCGTTCGGCCGCGCTCGTGAGTGTGCCCGTGATCACAGGGGCCTCACTGTACTGCCGCGAACTGAAGTCGCACGGATAAGGCAGTATTAATAGCCTTACTCCCCGGAGAAAAACCAGGAGAATGCAGATATAGATGGGTTGATATTTCGGCAGCATGCCTGTTATCGAAACAATAACAGAAGTCCATAAAGGCGTGTTGCCGAATTCCCAACCCATCTATATCTCCATTCTTCTGGTTTTTCTCTAAGGCCATTACTTCTGTCTTTTCTATGTGAATAGCATCCCTCGCGAATTCGCTGAACATCTGAAGTAACACAGAGTAAATGTCAAACATTACAATCGTGACGAGTACAAAATTGCATTGAAGAACATTTGCGCCTGGGTTGTCGATTGACTGTGCTTGCTGTGACGATTCATGTGATTCATCTATCCGGTTCACAGGAGCTAGATATTTAATATACCGAGGTAAGTTCCTAAGACATTGCAGATCAAACTGTGTGCAGGCACCTAATATTGAATTCATCGAAATTGTGTGCGGGCTCCCGGTCCTAGCTGGCGCACGTATCACTGCTTCAGCTGCCCCTTTGGGTTTTCCCCGGCGGTGCCAGGTCATTGCCCGCGGCCCTGACCGTGGCTGCTCTGCAAGATTCGAAAGGTCACGCTAGCAGCCGGTGGCTTTCGGCGCTGGGAGTGTCTGGGGGTTGGGAGCCACTGCCCGCTGACCTCCCGCTCTAATAGACATTTCTTATGAGATTACTAGGTCCCTCCGGAGAAGCGAGTGACATCTGAACGCTGATTGACGGCGATGCAAACACAAAATGAAGTAATTTTTTTCGGCTCGAATGCACTACGTAGTGAAAAACCAGCGAGTGCATAAGCGCTGGCAGGTATGTTCGAAAGCCTGTAGGCAGTACCAAGCGTGATATCATTACAAAGGTCACTTGTGAGCTTAGACCAGTGACATATGACATAGCAAAACGACGCTTCTCTCGGGTCACCATTTTCTGCACCCTGTTCCGCAGCCAGTCAGCCTTCCATCGCTTCATCGCCGTCCTCTGTCCCCAACAGCCCCGTTAAAAAACATGTCTGAAGCAAAATCATGTATTTGCGAGCATCATTTAAAGACATAACAATATCGTGGCAAATAAACGCGTATCCGCTCTAAATGCCGATCCACGCCAACGCTGCTTGGCTGAACAGCAAAAGCAACTGCTGAAAGATAAGACGAAGGCCGCGGCCCGCCGACGGCTGCCTTACTGGAGTGCGGCCGGCTGCGCCCCCTCCGTCTCTACGGCACCCTCCTTAGGCGGCTGGAGCGCGGCCGTCACCGGCGCCTCCACCATCAGCTGACCGGCCTGAGTCAGCCGCGAGGTCACATGGTCTGGGTTCACGTGCCGCGGCAGCGCGAACTTCCTCAGCAGACGGGAACTGGAGCAGCCCTCATCCGATGTCTCCTCGTGCACGGCGTCCACGATCACCACGCCGCCGTCCACCTTAACGGTCACCTCCTCCGGCTTGAAGTCGCTGACGTTCACAGAGACCTGGTACTTGGCTGTCTTCGCGGCGTCGGCCTTCGCCTCGCCGACTTCAGCGGCCTCCGGCTGCTTCTCCTCGGTGCTGCCCTCCCCTGATGCGGCGGCGGCTGTCACTGAAGGCTTCTTGTCACCTTCGGAGAGCTCCAGAGCCGGCGCGCCGGCCGGCGGCGCCTCCAGGACCAACTGACCGGACCGGGTCAGACGCGAGGTCAGCGCGCTGGCGTCCACGTGCTCCGGCAAGCGCACCCTCCTCACAAGGCTGCTGCTGATTAGGCCGCCGCCGGTCTTCTCGCGGTGGTGGGCGCGCACGGTGACAACGTTGTCAGACAGCTTAACGCTTACCTCCTCCGGCCGGTAGCCGGCGGCGTCCAGTGTCAGGTGAAAGCCTTCCGGCTTCTTGGACTCCTCCTTCTGCGGCTGTGCTCTGAGGCACTGCTGCGGCCGCACGCCCTGCCCGTGTGCACAGGGACGCCACACGGGTCCATCAATCTCACCGAACGCCGACCACGGGTCCCAGACCTGCACAGGCCCGAACGTGCCGATCTCACGGCGCGGCGTCCACCGACGACCCTGCGGCTCGAAGAACAAAAATGTATCCATGTCGACAGAGACGCTCTGGATGTGTCCTCCACAGCACACCCAGCCCGCCAGGCGTCTGAAACCGTTCTGAGTTCAGCACAAGAAAGTCGCCGAATTTAAAGGACGTGGCAGCACCTCCATGACCGTCACGAATTTTCTGCAGCCTTCTCGACCTATTCCGCGTTCTCTTGGGCGATCCGTGCAAACAGCCAATCAGCGTTAAGTATTTCCTGACGTCATACAAATGAACCAATGGTAGTTAGCGCTGGGATGCTGTTGGGATCAACGGAGTCAGCGTATGAAATAGATCAACCGGGAACGTTCCGGTGAACTCCGAAGCAAACTCACCTTGGGCGTAGTTTGGCCTGTCAGGGTCATTCCGGCGAGCTCTGGTCGATACTGGATTCGAATGGCGGAGTGATGTGCCGTCAGTGTGGTAACCAAGAGATGCTCGAGCTGACATGCAATAAAATACCACTTTAAATGCGTTGCATGAAAGATCTTCGCAACGGCGAGCGTGCAAGATTGCAGGCTCATTTGTCCTCGTCTATATATAGCACTTGTATATATCTCGTATCTATCTGTTAATGAGCAGTGGACAAGTTTTCAGCTTTAGTGCCACTCGTAAGACTATTCTGAAAACCTTTGCAAATGCACGATTGGATCAGCTATTGCTTGAACTACCATCCAGATACGCATGGACAGTTCAATGCAATATCATCACAAATATTTTCGACTCAAGTTGAATAAGCGCTGCAGTCACCATTAATGCCAGCAAGTGATATAGGTGTTTCTAAACAATTGGAATGAATTCCCACAAGTCGCCATTGCTAGTGACATGATCTTTCAAACAGCTCAAATGTGTTTGCCACGTGCTTGTCTCCTCTGCCAAGCTCCGCTCACAGCGGAGCAATAGAGCACTGCACAAGTGTGGGCGCCGCAGAGACTGCCGCTCCAAAAACTCCCGAATTCGCCGCTGACTTTTGCCATCGTGACTTCTTAAAAGCGTTACTTTGAAGCACATATTCATCAGCACGTTCTTCCATCGCATGCGTCATCAGTGATCGTAAACACTGAGTTTTGTCTTCCTTGTGTTACTACCTTGTTACCTTATTATATTACATTATATTGGCCGGCCACCACGGTTGCGGCTGTGCAATCACAACTCTGAACCGCGTACAATTTATATACGAGACGGAGGAGGCTGCATTGTCGTCCGATGACTGCACGCTCTCTCTCTCTCTCTCTCTCTCTCTCCTCTCCTCTCTCTCTCTCTCTCTCTCTCTCTCTCTCTCTCTCTCTCTCTCTCTCTCTCTCTCTCTCTCTCTCCTCCCTTACACACACACACACCACACACACACACACACACACACACACACACACACACACATATATATATATATATATATATATATATATATATATAATATATATATATATATATATATATATACATTATATATATATATATGTATGTATATATATATATATGTGTATATATATATATATATATATATATATATATATATATATATATATATATATACCGCCGCACATTAAATCATATACACAAAATGGGATGGTAAGAGTTTTAAAAGAATCAGTGGCCCATCTTCGCGGGACGGCGCTACGTTCAAGACGGCTGCCGACCGCCGCATGATGAAATGTGCTGACAATGCATTGTGAAGAGAATTTTGTTGCGTTATACCGCAACAGTAAGACTGCGTAGCGCGCTTTTTATCACGATAGACCTTATTGAGAACTCATAGTCTGTTGGAAACCGGAACATGTGAGGAGAGGGGAACAGCCTAATTCTTACATCGCTTCTTTTCGTGCGTCAACAGGTATAGAGTTAGTGTTTTGCCCAGATTTGGGGAAGCAGCTCCCCCCGAAATCCGCCGCCACTGACCGGCACGCGGAAAAACCACGTAAAGCAATGCATAGCATGTGCAACGGAGAAAGCGTTGTACGGTAGCAAATCAGTGAGACGTTTCCTGCGCGAGAAGGGCATTTTTTCACAGACTATTTCCAGAACGCTTTAACGCACTGCGCGTACCGAACCGTATGCGCCCGCAGGGACGGCGCGGGCGGCCCCTCGGCGATATGGTAAATATGATACCTACAGGGGATTTTTTTTAGTCGATTGTCTGCCACTTGCCTTGGTTGATGCTTGGTTTTCTATGCTGTTCTACTTTTAATCGTCGCATGTGTTGTGGGTCAGTAATTGAACGGGACATGCTGAATGATAGCAGCGAAACAGACAATTCTAGGTCATATAACATCCCGCTGTGCAGTTTCATATCTGGGCTATCAGTGACTGGGCACTGTTGATGTGCAAGCAGGCTGTTATAAGTTAGTGTTGCAGTTTGTGGTGGCATGGTATGCATATTGTTATCTGTTTTAACTTCAAATCATCTAGTGCAGCTTTGCCTCCATGATTAGGGGCTGGAGCATTTCAAGTCATGGAATTATTTTAGTTCTTCAGTACTTTCTGTGCACTATGATCAGGAAATATTTTGTCTGCCCTCCCTCCCCCACAAATTTGGAACATTTCTTTCAGGATTTTAAAGCTTATCAAGTGTGTATTTTTCACTGTTATGCAGCTGATAACTCCCAATCAGTTTACAGCAATGAACACTGGTTGGATGTTTGTCAAAATTATCAAAAAATCATGACCAAGTTAGACCCATTCATTTTCTGTGAGTAGCAATTTAAGCCATTTACCTTTCCAGTCTGAATAGTTCCTTCAAATGTTTTAGACTATACTTAAAGTATTTCAAAAACCTTATTGCTAAGGCATTTAATTTCTATTAGTTTTTGCCACCATGCAATTATTGACAATTCACACATCATGTCTTTGTGGTCCTGGGAAATGAGTGATATGTTGCAATGATTCCTAATTCCTAGGTTATGCTTTTGTCATGCTGTATGTTTTATGAACAATAATATTCTGTTGAACCTTTGTTATGGAAGAAAACTGACATTGTCTGCTCAAACAGATTTAAGCCACTTTGATTATAATCACCATCATTTGTTGAGCCCTGGTTATTCAATGATTTCAAGTTCTCATATTGTGCTATCATCCTATGTCTTGTTTCATGATTTGGGTTGTAGTTTCCTAATTGGGGGCTTGAAGCCTGCCCCCACCAATGTTGGCTCCATCCTGCATCCAACTCTGAGAAAGTGCACCAAATCCAAGGAGAAACATGCTGCTTGGCATATTTTGGGGCTGGTTAAGCCATTTTCCACGCCTCAGCCCTTTAACTCATTTTGTGAACCTATACCCCTGTTTAATGATATGTTGTAGTCCTTTGGTTACTTTCTGTTTTGCAATCAGTTTTAATTCTACTTTTTGATATTCTCAGATCATGATATCTGGTGTCTCATGTGCTCGGATAGATATAATGATGAGCATTACACACTTTATTTTAACATGATTTGATTTTATCTTTGATGAGTTGTACATAAATGCAGTTATGCAAGTTAGAAATGAATGGTTTTCTTTTTATAAAAGCTATGTGAATTTCTGCAGGCTGTCACACTTCATACAGACTTGGGAGATATCAAGATGGAGCTCTTCTGTGAACAGTGTCCAAAGACATGTGAGGTAAGTTTCTAAAATGTTAATGCCCAGGGAATTGTTCAACTTGGAAAAACATAAGGAAGATAGCAACCATTGCTCAATCAGATGCACAATTGTTTTTTGAGTTGCAGGTTATAGCAGGTTAGTTTTACACATCTTAAGTGAACAACAATATTTGTTCAGTGTGTGTACTGTGGGACCTGCCAGAACGGCAGCCCAGAGTGAGGGGTAAAAGCCAGCAAACAAGCAAAAGGAACAAGGGGATTGCTCTTGCCAGTTTTACTCCCAAAACAGAATGTTTACAGAAAATGCCTGGAAGACAGTGCCCCGAATGTTGGTTTGCCATAGCCATTGCCAAGTAGTTTTAGGTTGAACTGAGCCAGTAGTAGGAAATTCATGTCAATCTTAAACATGAAATAACCACATCAAGACTATTCAATGCAGTTCACAACCCTGCCCTTCTGAAGACCTAAACTTATCTAGTGTCTTAGGTACACATTCGCAAAAATGGGAAACTTTTCGGGCGGTGTTTCAAAGTCACCTTGGCATTCATGATGTCATAAAAGGGCCATTCAAATAAACTGTAGTGTATCTCGAATCCACACGGAGTCGGACAGACGTCGGTTCAGATGTCGTCTGCAGCCGCATTTTCTTCAAACAACATCTCGGCCAGGCCTGGTGCGATTCTTACATGCCGGAGCAGTGCGTATATTTGTTCTGCCACGTCGAGTGTGCTTCGTTTGCATGAGTGTTTGAATGCCTGTTTTTCCTGCGAAGCTCTTTATGATGTCGACTCGAAGTCGAGTCTAGCAATGAACTTGGATGGGCCAATACATTACATCAGTATGGGTAAACGGTCGACATTCGTCTGGACAACCCATGAAACATATATAATGTGTTGTGTGTGAATAATCTGGGCCAGACGCGGTTAAACTGAATCCTGCCCTGTTCGGCAGCAAACTTAACGGAAGGTGAATTGGGGGAAATTAGTGGCACTGATCTTCTTACACAGCTCATTCCGGTAATAAATGTTAAGTTTCCAGATGCCCGTTCATGCGCCGGAAGTCACTGACATGGAATGTTCCGGATGCTGGCCTGGTTTCCGTCTCCTCATGTTTCCACGAACGGCAGCGCCAGCGTCGGGTGCGTGAATGGCAGTGTCTGCCATTCGATCCACCTTCTCATTCACGGCGTAATCGTGCAATGAAGCTAAGTGGATCCTGCTGAAATATCTCGCGAACTCAGGGGCGGATCCAGAGAGGGGCAGAGGTCATGCCCCTTCGGGCCCCGAAGGGGCCCTTAGGCTCCGAGGGGGCCCATATCTGGGCGAACAGACGAAGTCTTTTATTTAAATGTTTTTTATTGTTTGTATTTAAATGTAGGGCCCTATGCTTCTGTCGGGGCCATCTGATAGCTCGCTTGGGTTCACTCAGTCTTTCGGGGGTCCTCCACACTGGGCTTTAGGTACTTCATATTTGAATGAAGGGCCTCGCGCTCTTGTTGGGACTCCCATCCGATAACTTGCTCGGGCACACCGGATCATTCGGGGCCCTCTTCATTTGGTCTTGGGTGCTTCCTATTTGAACAGAGGGCCCTGCACTCTTGTCGGGGGCCCTATCTGTGAATCTTCTCTGGCTCACTCGATCGTTCGAGAGCCCTCTACATTGTGCCGCGGATATTTCTGATTTGAATGGAGGGCCCTTGCTGTTTTCGGAGGCCCATCTGTTAGGCACACTCAATCGTTCTGGGGCCTTCCACATTGCGTCTTGGGTACTACCTGGTTGAATGGAGAGCCCTACGGACTCTTCGGGGTTCCCATCTGTGCACCTCCTCGGGCACACTGGATTGTTCGGGGGCCGTACACATTTGATATTGGAAATTGAATATCGAGCTCTACGCCATCTGATAGCCTGCATAAGTACACTGGATCATTCGGCGGCCCTCCACACTGGGTCCTGGGTACTCCTTATTCGAATGGAGGGCCCCACGCTCTTGTTTGGGCCTCGTCTGATAACCTGGTGTGGCACGCTTAATCGTGCGGGTTTCATCTATCTTTGGTCTTGGGTACTTCCTATTTGAATGGAGGGTCCCATCTGATGAAAGAGGGGGAGGAGGGCTCCGATGGAGAGCTTTTGGCGGGAGTCCCATCTGTTGACCTGCTGGAGTGCACTCGATCGTTTGGGGCCCTCCGCATTGTGTCGTGAGTGTGTCTATTATTTGAATGGAATTTCCTACGCTCTTGTTGGCCCCGCCCCCATCTGTTAACCTGCTTGGGCGCACCCGGTCATTCCTGGGCCCTCCATATTGTATCTCGGGTACTTTGTATTTAAATAGGTGGTCGTATGTTTTTGTCATCTATCCGTTCCCATCTATCAAACTGTTCGGGCTAATGGCGGATCCGGGGGAGGGGGGGGGGGACACGGAACCGCGCTCCCCCCTTGTGCCCCGAGCGGACCCATAGGCTCTGAAGGGGCCCATGACCAGGCGAACGGACTCAGTTTTCAAACACAAAACAACGAAATTGGACGTCTTTGGGTCTCCAGGCGACCAAAAAACAGTCACACGCGAAAGCGAGGCCCGTGAGCAGAGTCGTTACGCTGTCCAGCGGCCTTCGCTGTAGCGGGGCCCTATGTGTCTCTTCACCGGGTCACTCCGATCGCTAAGAAGCCTCCCACGTTGCCCTTGATCTGTGTGCGGTGAGCTGTGCGACGCTGCTGTTGGGGCACTATCTGCCAGCATGCCTGGGCTCTCTTGGTCGATCAGGGGTCCTCCATGTATTCGTCCCACTTGCCTGAAAAGGTCAATACGCTTTTGTTGGGGCGCTCTATTCCGGGTACACTCAGTTACTCAGGGGCCTTTCATATTGGTGCCGGGCTCCTTCCACTTTCTCAACGAAGGGCCTTCTGCTGTTGCTGAGGTCAATATAAAGTAAGACACTGAGCCACTGGATGCTCAGGAGCCCTGCACCTTGACCCAGGGCTCTTCCCCTTTCATCTCTTTTGCGGAGGACCCCTCACTCTCATTACGGCCCTTTCCGTTAAACTGCCCGGGCACTTTTGATCGCAAGGGGGTATTCATTCACACACACTGGTCACACACAAGGGTGCACACACGCACACTGGACCCACTGCTCAAAGAGTTCCATGCTTTGGCCAGGATCCTATACGTCAGCCTGCCGGGCCACTTCCGATCGTTCAGGAGCCTATCACGTTGGTCTTGCGTTCTTCTCGCTTGCTTTGCGGACCCCATACTTGTCGGCGGAAGACTCTTTGTGGGTCCACTGTGGCACCGATGATCATTCAGGTTTCGTCTGTTGGCGTATATATATATATATATATATATATATATATATATATATATATATATATGTCGTAGCTATAGAGCAGCAGGCGGATGTGCGCCGGTGCATTTTTACGCTCATTTGTCGAACATTTTACGTCCCGTCGAAGTCTTATGGGACGTTTAGATGCATTTAAGCACATTTAAATGAGTTGCGTTATAAAAAAGCATACTAAGAATGACTGCTGGACTTCGAACATCTTTTTCGGGGGGGGGGGGCTTCTATGGGGCCCACAATGTTGCGTGCCCTCCCCCCCCCCCTGACGAGGTCCTAGATCTGCCCCCGCGCGAGCTCCTCCAGAATCTTTCCGAAAGCATCGCAATCTATTACATTCGGCCGCTGGCATGAACGGAGTGGAACTTGCAGTCAAATATTCAAAACAGCACCGAGCAAAGCAGCAAGCGAGCAAGTACCAATACCGCCCAGCTGCAGGCGCTGCCGCCGAGGGTCAAGCGCCAACACAGAACGTGTCCCGTCGTGAAGGGGTCGATGCTACGACGGTTTGGAATACATGCTACATGATACAGCCGTAGGGTGAAATAAAAATACTTTATTCCACTGATTCCACCGACCGAACGGCAAACGTTCGTCATCTTCGCGCAGTCCATCTCTAAACATCATTGCTTTACTGCGTGCTGAAGACGAAAAACTACTTGGAAACGGCAGAATCTGTAGCCACGGCCCTCACATAGGTCGTGTAGTCGTGTCAGCAAGTTAATCCTCGTAGCATAACTGAATAACTCGGAAGTGTGGACGTGTGTGCCGTACATCAGCAGCGCATAGTGGTTTGTCGAGGTTTTAACGTTTCAAGCTTGAAGTGGCTTGAGCAGCATGCGTTTTAACATCGCCTCTCTGACACATTTGCGACGCACCGTAAAATTCGTGAACCGTGGTACATTGATTTTGTCTTGAATGTCCAGAAAATGTTTGACCATTTCAGTGAGCATGCCGCACACATTCAGTAGTTGCAGTGTTCAGCGGCCGCTCTGATTGCAAGGTGGCCAAGTCGAAGAAATACACACTGTATCAAATTGATGCGGGGAGCTGTAAAACGCGGCTCGGCAAACAATGTAATTACTCTTCTCGTGCTGTTGCAGAATTTTCTGGCTCTATGCGGAAGTGATTACTACAACGACAGCCTGTTTCACCGCAATATCAAGGGGTTCATGGTACAGACTGGTGATCCTCTTGGCACGGGAAAAGGCGGCACTTCAATATGGAATAGGAAATTTGAAGATGAGATAACCGACAACATTAAGGTGAGTTCAGTCTGAAACTACAGGACTAATTCAGATCAGACATGGAGAACACTGGTTCCTAAATATCCATACTTGTTTCGATATCCAAATGATACAGTGGTAATAGCCCCGTTCCTCGTAGAATAACCAGGAGAATGGAGAGCTAGGTGTATATATATATATATATATATATATATATATATATATATATATATATATATATATATCGGTTACATGCCTTCATCGAAATAAGCTGCTGATGTTCATTTCGATGAAGGCATGTTCCGAGATATCACTCTTCTGGTTTTTCTACGAGGGCTGGGCCATTACTACCGTCTTATTCATATGCGTAAGGCTCCTCACAAACGCACTTGAGAACATGCATACTTGTTCTGCCTCAGCTGTTTGATTCTGTACAGAGGACCTTGGTCGGGCGGTACGTGTTTCAACTGGTGTTTATTTTACGGAACTAGTGCCTATTTGAAGGAGCAAGCAGGCGCGGGTAACACGATGTGCGAATATTCAAGTCGACATGAGCGGCATTGGGGTACACATGAGTCGTGGCTGTCAAAATATGTGCATACCAAGAAAGATCTGTGCGCCCTTGGTCATAATAGTTGCTTGTATATTAGAACACGGAGGCAGAATGAAAGTGTTGTGCGGCAGTACGTCCGGCACTGTCGCATATACTAGGTCTAATTGGCACTGCATGTGAAGCATTGCGTTGTCTTTGTATGTATGGTATGAACTGAAGTTGTCAAAGGGACACAAGTACTAAAACCACTAATTTTTTTTGCGCGGCAAATAGCTGATTGAAAGTATAAATAAACTTCAACAAATACAATCTAAGGATAGCGGACGACAGATTCGTTTCCAACAGAGCTTCTAAGATCAGTCAGAGAAGTTATCAGATCACAGGAGCCATGTAAAATTGATACCTTAAAACAAAATTTGGCCATGTTCAGATTGGATAGGCACTTAGTTTGATGGATAGTGCACTGCCTCCGCGGCTTTCCATGTCGTTCGTGCCGAGCATTGCTGTTGACTGTATGCGCATGGTGGTCGTTTGCTTACAGCACAAAGTTCGCGGCATGGTTTCCATGGCAAATAATGGGCCAAACACGAATGGCAGCCAGTTCTTCATCACATACGCCCCTCAGCCTCACCTGGACCTCAAATACACGGTATTTGCGAAGTAAGTGGCACGGAACGTGTGAATTTTGGATTACGTTTCACCCTGCTACGTAAGCTACGGAAAACTCCCAGAGATTTATGCATTGTGGAGGTGTCCCTCTGATGGGCATAATCCATTGACATGATGATTTGGGTCCATCTTCACATGATCCCTTGCGCCTCCGTATTGATCGTGAAGAAGGTCAAAGAGGCCCGTATAAGCAAGCATAGGTTTAAGCGGGTCGGTATACCCCTGGGAAAGCGTGTGATGACATCCATGTAACACATAGGCCACTGCCTTCGCTGATCGAATGTGGCCACCTGTTGCTGCACCGCAGAGTGATAGACGGCCTGGACACGCTGGACCAGCTGGAGAAACTGACGGTCAACCCGAAGAACTACCGTCCCACCACGGACACGCGCATCCGACGGGTCACCATCCACGCCAACCCGCTGGCGGGGTGACGCCCCGCCCACCGCTCTGCCGTCATCCAATCGTCATCCGCACCGCGCGCGCACAATACATAATCGCTCGTCATCGTGTGTGGTTTAAGGAGCTGGAGGGTTGAGGCTGGATGCACGGTACGCCATGGTGGCATACTGGCATGGCAGATGGGCGCTGTGAATGGAAGCCTTGAAAATTGCAGCGCCCTTCCGCTGTCAATGGCCGCAGCCTGGTGGTTATAGCTTGCACTGATTTGCTTGACCACTCTCCGGCACAGTGCCTCGGCATATATTTAAGGCATGTGCTCAAATCCCAACATTGTTCATCTAGACACTTGAATGCATCAAGCTTACATTAAATAGCATAAAAATATACCCACCGAAATCATCCGCCCGGCCGCGATAGCCGACTATCACAGCACACAGCTTGGGTCCGAACGTCACGGAACAACGCCTACTTCACGACCCACGTGAAGCGTCCAGCTAAGCGTACTCACGCATTAATCGTTGTACCAGTCTAGGAAAAGCAACGAGAACGATATCACCAAGAGGAAGAACATGACCCACACGCGGGTGCCGGCGTTTTTCTTGATGGCGCTGCGCAGCTGCTCGTTGGCATCCTTGATGTTCTCGGTCGTGCCGATCACAGTGTCACCGATGCGGTCAACGTCCTTGTCCTGCTCCAGCACCTTCTCGGTGAAGATCTCCTGCAGCTGGGCGATCTTGACCACCTTGCTCTCGACCAGCCGCACCTCTTCCGTCATGCTGTTGAGTTCGTTGAGCATCTGGTCGTTCTCGGCCTGCAGCATCTGGAGGTCCTCTGGCGTGAGCTCGTCTCCGGGCAGCAGGGGCGAGCTGGGCCGGTCCTGTTCCCAGCTCGGCGCTCCGCCGCCGCCGCCGTCCTCCGGCGGCACTGCCGGGGGCGTTGGGCGGTCGGCGGCGGGCGCCGGCCGTGGCGTTGCCGTCATGATCTGGCTCATGTTGCGCCGGTCGACGGACCGCTTCACGCGCACCGCCTTCATCTCGGCGTAGATGCCGCACACGGTCTTGAGGTAGGCCTCCATGCTGTCAGCCACGGCCTGCCGGTGCTGCGCCGCCTGGTCGCCGCCGGCCGCCGGCACCAGCTCGCGCCGGAACTCGCGCACCAGCTGACTGCAGGTGCGCGTGATAGCCTGGGCGCCGGCGTCCACCTGGTCACGTTCGGCTTCGGAGAGCGCGGGTCCGTCGGCGTGGCCTGTGCTCAGGTAGCCGGCCCGATGCTCCTGCAGGAAGGCGGCCAGCCGCGCCACGCTCGCCACGATGTCCGCGGCGCGCCGCTGGAACGGGCCGGCCGCGCGCCGCGGCAGCACACGGCTTTCAGCCGCCGCCGACAGCTCCTTGTTGCGCGTGCGCACGGCGCGCAGACAGGCTATAAACAGCGGTGTCTGGTCCATAGTGGCCCTGGGGCACAACAGAGTGGAAGCATTAGTGAGCATCATCAGCCCTCATGGTGGGATAAATATATAAATGGACATATGCATGGACCTCTCCAGCTTGCTGACGTGGCATAGAGAAGGTGACCATGCAAGTCACCATATGTAGGTATGTACTCCCAAAGGTATGTCACACATTCTGAAAATTGCAGGGGACATGTCCCCACAGTGTCGCCACCCTTGTGCAGGGTCCACATACCCCTGGCCATACACTGAAGACAGATTAGATCATGTGACAAGGTTTTAGCCAAGGGTGGGAACAATGGGGCCAGGGCCCACCTTGAGCAAGGATGTTAAACTAAATGCTGACAGATCTCACAGATAGTTGATCCAAATTGCAGGAGTTTGGAAAAAACTTGACATTTGCCCATGAGTTGAGATTAAACATTGGCTATGTGCTTGTGGATAAGTGGGCATGGCATGAATATCCTGCATACAAACTTACATCATCCAGTGTAATTTCTTATTTGGCTGAGTGGATCCAATCCCTCCCAAATTTGACAGAAAATACCTAACTTTGGACTGATGCCCATTTGTCAGCTAATTTTGGGTGCCATCATCACATGTCAGCAGCCTAGCCTGTTTTCCACAACTATGCCCCTGATATTACTTCATAAGGAAGAGTGACAGATAATGCATGCTGCCAGCACTGCAGTGACAACATAACTGGGAACAGCAAGATATTGGCATATGAGTTACACAGAAACAAATCTTGCCATCATACCAGTTCAGCTGGTTTCAGATCAACCCAAGTATGAGCTTTGATTCATCGCAGTGGTAGGCATGAAACGTGCACTGGTGTAACAAGACGAACTCAGGCAAGACACATTTACTTATTCACTGTAGATCTTTTCTGAAGTGAAATTATATTGATAACCATTAAGCTCATCCCCCAGCTCTGCAAATATCCCTTTATAACACAGGCTTATGAACTGCATGCCAAGGCTAGTTCAGCATTGGTTCTGGTAGCCAACCACAGCAACAAGCAAGCACCAGGCCAACATGAAAAAGAGGGCATGTATTTGCTAGATGGGCCTAGGCCACCTGGTGGTCCCCATGTTCTGACTCATGATCTGTCCAAATTTCCTTTCTATCACATAGGAATCCTAATTTTTACATGGTCAGTAAAATCAAAGTCACCAATGCAAAGGCCTCTTAGCCCACCCAGGGCACAATGATTCAGACCATTTTAAAAGTGGCTCCTCAGTCATAACCAAGCCCTTTTCATGTACTAGTGGGAAGTAACAGGAATATATGCAGTAAACAAATGCAAAGCTTTGTTTGAACTCCATCACACTACAACTGATCAATTTAACAATTTAGATGAAAAGCACCACATTGATTCCATCATTTTTAACCTAATGCGGTGCAGAAAAATCACAGATGGTTAAACAAGCATGAGTTTTACAAATCTTGGGCTTCCAAGAGCTCAACAAACCTCATATGTATCTTGAGGTAGCTTGATAAAAGGTCATCACTACCTCTTCTTCTACCTATCACCCCACCATTGCCAGCAGGTAGCAGGGGCATAGTTTGCCTGTCTATATATCTGTAAAATTGGTAGTCTATAACATGACACATCTATCTTTTGCATGAAGCCAAGAGGCTGTAATAGCTGCAAACCAATTAAACATCCACACAAATTTCTAAATCTGAAAATGAAGAACATCATCACTCATTTTCAACCTTACTTTTATGTCTTTTTATTGCAGTTTTTAAAGTTTTTTCATAGCTAACATTTCTTAAATGTACAGAAAAGCACAACAAAACTGATGAGGACACACACCCTGGTGTTCATGATCCTCAGGCTCTGTGGGGTGGGGGTTTAGGACGTGAGTTAAGGGGCACAGTAGACTCAAACTGAACTCAAACTTGTATTCGAGTACATCCCTAATAGCCTTCTATCGCCAGGACCCCTTATCATTACATACTCCTTGGCCTTTATTGGTCGTTGCCAGCCTTGATGCACGCCCAGCCAATTGCCCACAGGTATTTAGGAATCTCCTTGATTACAGAGAGCGGCGGCTCGTGCCATCAAGGAGAACAATGTCTGAAAACATTCGCTCACAGCTGTCCAGGGCCGCACGCACACCCCAATCCCCCTCGCTCAGGCCAGTCAAATTCTTCAGATTAGTTGTCCAGGTTGATGCACTTACTAAAAGTGTTCACACTGCGCTGAACGCAACTTGCGCGTATTCAGTCACCACACGATGACGCTCAGGCGCTCGGGGAGGTGAAGGATGGGTAAATTTTGTTCAGACCTTGAGCCAGATCTGCTTTAAGCTGTTGTCGAACAGCTTCGAAGTGTTTGCTCGTATTCGATGCGCCATAAATCGTATCGCACGTGAGTACTGTGAACAAGTGTAAAAGCCGCGGTTTGTCGCGGTTGGGGTGGTTGTGTAGTAACTGGACATTATATATTATAAATATCTTGTGATTGGCTGCCCACGAGACATTGTGTGAAGGCCTGTGGATCGTTACGCCAGGAGCAGGATCCTATTTGATGGGCGAAACCCTGAAGAAAAAGTGAAGGTGCGGTTTGAGATATGCATTGGGTGTCCAGATGCGGATATTTCAACTGAACGGGTGATCAATCACGCATAGGTACCATGGAAAAGCTGATAACCAGCTTTGTGACATTGACTAAGAAAGCGGAAAACTTTCTGAGGTAAGACCATTAAAATGTTTGACAAGATGTTTGTATGGAAAGGATAATTACTCTTCACTGTTTTGTCCCAGTTCTTGCACCCTCAAGTTCCACTCGTCATGCTCATCCTGTGATGTGGTTTAGACATTTCTGGTGTCTGGTAGCACACTCAAATTTCAATTATTTTGTCTCCAGTATTTGCTTGAATAGTTTGTTCCCTCAGTTCCCACAGCCATAATGAGCTGATCAGTGCTGACTGTGGAGTTTGTTCATAGGGATTGAAACTACTATCACAAGGTGTGCCACTTTCTTGATCATTTCTTCTTTTCAACCTTGCATGGTTATGAGTTATTTCTGTCCCAGTAAGTGGTCCCCTTACCATATATGCTGTTCTTTGCAGGACTTTCATGGTTTGCCAGGGTTGGCCTTGATTTTATTTATCACAATATTCCATAGCAAAGATCAGACCACAAATTCATATAATGGGCATTCATATTCTGGCTGTGGCAAGGAATGCCCCTGCTTGAATACTTCGGGATGTGGTACATAACTGGGTACATGGCTAAAATCCTCTGGTTCTTGCATGTGCAAACTTGCCACGTAAATGGCTATATGCTTACCATTGTCAGACTCTTACCAGGGCTAACACCAAGTGATAGCCAGATATGTCATTGGCTGAAAAGTAGTCATTGACTGGAGCCTAGTCCAAATAATTATGCATTCCATAAGAGTTTTTCATGTTCTGTATGCCACTGCTTAGACATGTCCCATTCTTGGTTCCATGTTAATACCAATTAATAAAGTGCTGTGCTTACTGCATGCTATCAAAAGTAAAAAAGTCACCAGCACATACCATGGTTTTGTGCACAAATGCAGTAAAACTACCAGATGGCCCTACCAGAAGTATTGCTGTATTACAGTCACAAATCAGAGTGTCCCATATTTTGCACTGTGCTTTGCCAAGACATAGCCCATGTCATACCTGCTACTGTAGGACCCAGGGATATCCAGGTGATCACTTTTGTTGTAGAGCACAAGTATGTCTACATGTGTTCTCAGAAACACTTGCTCACCAGTATGATTGTTTTGACCAATTTTCTTATTTGTTTCAGGTCTGATCAAACTTCTGCAGAGGGGTTTAAGGGTGTAACCAAGGAAATCTTTGATATTGGTGTAAGCTGCCTGAGTGAAAAAAGCTCGCTACCCATCCAGGAACTCTTCATAGAAGGGTTTGATCAGGAACAAATATGGCAGGTAAGAAAATATTAAGATGGTAGTTGAGGTGACTAACTTCCAGCTGTTTCTCTAATTGGGCTTGCCAGCTCTGGTTTAAGGATGCTTTCTATGAATTTTTTTATTTTCCAAATAAGCAAAGCTTGCTTCCACTTTTCAAAATTGAATTAGTATTGTGATCAAATGCAACTTACATTACATGTGATATATAGCCAGGAGTAGTTCAGAAGCAATAAATTGTTATAGAGCAAAACATTAGAATACCAAAAAGCATTTTATTTATCAACAAAGAATCATCTGAAGAATCAAAATAAGCAGCAGGTTAAGTGCCAACTGCTTTTGATGTGTACATGCTGTGCATAACAGATACAGTGTCATTGGTACTGCTCCTCTCAGCGTCGTCGTGACGCGTTGGACCATGTGATATGCAGGAAGTGGAGCTGCTGAACGGACTGGAGTGGCCGGCGCTGTCGCGCGAGGTGAGCCGGGTCACGGCGCGCAGCGGCCAGCTGGCGCTGACGACGCGGGCTGCTGGACACGAGGTCACGCCCCCGACCGCGGTCGGTCGCCGGCCGCTGGCTGGGGAGGCCGTCAGTGACAGCGACGACTCGGCCGGACACGGCGACGCACCGAACATCAACGGGCCGGACGGCGAGGTGGACGAGGATGACCTTGAGGACGGGTTTGACGGCCCGGCAGGCGAGGACGACAGCGAGGATGAGGGTGCCGAGAGCGACGAAGACGGGCCCGGCAGCGGGGAAGAGGAGGAGCCGCTGCCAGAACGACCGCACGCCGCCCGCTCCACGGTGGACGACCGGTTCTTCAAGCTGGGCGAGCTGGAGCAGTTCCTGGAGCTGCAGGATCGCCAGTTTGAGCGGGAGCGGGCCCGCCGCCCGGCCGACGCCGACGAGCCAGCCGGACCGGACCTGTTCACAGCAGACGCCGGGGAGGAGCGCCGCGCCGCAGCTCCAGGCCGGCGGCGGGCCGACGCCAGGGAGCGCGCAGTGGAGGGTGAGGAGGAGGAGGAAGATGCGATGCCCATGTTCTCGGACTTTTTTGATCCGCCGGACGACGGGAAGGCGGGCCCACCACAGCCAGCCAAAGGCAAGAGGTGAGATTTGATCATCAGTTGACTGGTGACGGTTGGAAGCTTAGTTATGTGGCACGGCTGTCAACTTGAGTGGCCCTGCCCGGCTCGGCCGTCCCGCTTTCTAGGGGTTGCTATATTACAACCACTATACAGGCTCATGCGGTTTTCAACACCAGGAAGCACAGTTGCTTTACTGTTGTGCTGTATAAATTTTCAGGCATTTGCACCAAGAGCCTCGATCTGGCATGCTTTCCCTTTCAACGCGTCAAGACTGTCAGCAGCATTGCTGCCATTTCACCCCCTTTTTCTTTAGTGTGGAAGAGGTATAGTTTTACCTATCGCGATTTAGTTAAAGAGCGCGGTCAAAACCGGGCTCTCGACCACTTTGCGTCGCAGCTTCACGCGGCTGACAAACCTGATGGAGCGGGAAGTGGAGGATGGTATGGGCAAGGGTGTGGGTAGATGCACACATTTTGTGATGTTTTTTAAGCAATTCTAGGTGTGAAGTAGCGCGTAAAGGCTTCCTCAGTGGAGCCTTCTAATACCCGGCCTGTTTTAGTTTTCATGAACCTAACTCTTCAGTGAGTCGACAAAGTCCATTTAGTTTGCTCGCTGAAGATGTGCGCTACATTGATATAGTTCTGCTTTTAGTTCTACGTCACAAACCGGTAACTCACATCCGTTACATCCGTCTTCACATCCACCACGTCACATCACCTCGCTCGCCCGGGCTGCGAGACGTGTTGCTGGTGTGTTAGACTATGCTGTTTTTATAAGCCATTGAAGTGGTGGTGCTCTGGACGGTGTAATTGCTGCCGTCATAATCAGTAAGCACAGTGAAACGACTTTCTAAGGTGTGTGTGGCTGTGTTTATTGGGTCTTTTGGGTCTATTGGGTGTATTGGGTCATCACATGGGTCTGTTTGGTCTGTTTTGTCATGACATTAAAGTGCATGCTTATGGAGATTGATTAATTGATGATGATTGACGTATTGATTTGATAAATGCACATTTCCAGACTGGACCTGCTAGCATCAGACAGTGAGGGAGAGGATGTTGCGGACATCTTGGGAATCGCGAAGAAATCTCAGGAGCCGAAGTCAACGCTGGAGATCCGGCAGGAAAGGCTCAAGTAAGCATGCACGAGTGCTGTGCGATATAGTCAGTCTCTGGAGATCATTATGAATAGAAGCAGGGCAATGATGCTTAGACAAACATGTTGCATTGGGTACCCAGCCTGGTGTGGTGCGAAGTAACCAGCCTGATCTGACTGAAACCGAAGAGTGCAGTTCAAACAAACGCGAACATTTCGCTTCACAAGCAGGTATCGAAGCAAGTACCAGTGCACAGACCAATCTCTTCAGCAAAGTGAAATATATCGGGCTGACAAAATACAGCTGGTACAGCTGGTACAGGTACAGCTGAAGTGACCGCGAACTTCACTGTTAAATAGCGTGTAAAGGCTGGAGATGCGGGAGGTAACCGTCCGTGTGTTTCTATACCGGAGACCTTCATGATTTCATTAAATAGCAGATGTTTGGTACCTCCCATGGTCATTTAATTGGTTTATTGATTTCGGTTTGCAGTGTGTTGCTTCTTGTCACATGCTAGTTAAGCCATCCTCGCCCTGAACTTGTCCGGCGTTTACCGCTACTGTGCGTGACATTAATGTCTCCTTCAGGCCTGTCTTGTGCGTCTGCTCTGCTGACCTGACCGGGACATTTGGCCTTTCCCTGACCTGTCAGGACCACTTGACCTGCTGATCTTGATAGACGTCTTACCTTGTGCTGACCGTTGGGGTCGTCCGACCTCCCATTGGCCTCCGGGGGAACCTCCAGCTGACCTGCAGGGGAAGTGTGACCTCCCACCGACCTACGAGTCGTCTGACCTGCCGCTGACCCGTCGTGGCCGCGTCGACGCAGGTCGCGCATCTCGCAGCTGGAGGAGCAGAACCTGGCGGAGAAGCCGTGGCAGCAGCGCGGCGAGACGTCGGCGGCGCAGCGGCACGAGAACGCGCTGCTCGAGGAGTACGTGGACTTCGAGCAGACGCGGCGCGCGCCCGAGACGACGGCCGAGGTGACGGCCGAGGTGGAGCGGCTCATCCTGCGCCGCGTGCGC